CGCGGCCGCCGAGGGCCTAACCTATGGCGCAACCGATAAGAGACGGTTGAATTCGCGGCCGCCGAGGGCGCAACCTGTAGGGCGCAAACCATAGGGCGCAACTTAATGGCTTCTGCCGCCGACCCCAGAGCAAAGCTACGGGGGTCATGCGACGCACCGCGCAGGCAACGCATCCACGACATGTTGCACCTTCCATCAGCATGCAACTGCACAATTGCAGATTTCAGCGCTTGGCGCCATTGGTGGCAGCTGGCACGGCCGCCCTTTCAACGATCTGTCCGAGTTGGACCGAGGACAAATTCACGCGCTCCGCTTTGTTTTCGCGTCCACGTCACGTCGACTGACCTCTGCCAGGAGAAGGAGAACAGGAGGAGGAAGAGGAGAAACGAGGACGAGGTCCTAGATGAGGACGACGAGGAGGAACTGGAGCAGGAGGAAGACGAGGAGGATGAGAAGGAAGACGACGACGACGACGACGACGAGGAGGACGGGGAGGAAAACGAGTAGTACGAGGACGAAGTGAGTGTATTCGAATGCGTGCGGGGCCACGCCCGATATATGCTCGCCGTTTGACCTGGCGGCGGGGCCCAAGCGGCGAGCTGTCTTGTGATTCCCTCCCCCTTCTCCCTCTCAAGTCCCTCTCTCTGTCGCGCTGCCTGTGGGAGATGGTGGCTGCGCTTCAAACGGCTTGAAAGTATGTTGGTCACGAGGGGGGCATAGGGGGGTCTCGAGTGGCGTTGGAAAAGAGCTGGAGTTTTTGCGTTGGGTGGAGGCGGCCCAAGGGCTTCGAGGAGGAGGGGGAGGAAGAGGAGGAAGAATAAGAAGAAGGAGAAGAAGAAGAAGAAGCAGCACCAGAAGAGCAGGAGTAGCAGGAGCGGGAGGGAAAAATGGCTGTCAAGCTTCCCCATGCCGTTCCGTTGGCCGACCTGCTGCTGACGCCGCGAGCGCGGCTGCTGCTGCGGCTGCTGCTGCTGCTGCTGCTGCGGCTGCTGTTGCTCTCCGTCGCTGCAGCTGCTGCTCAAGTTGGTGCCGCCTGAGTTTCTGCCGCCGTAGCTGCCGCTGCTGCGTCACCTTCCTCCGCCGTCCCGCGGCCATGTTGGCTCAAGCCGTGTCCTTCCTCCTCCTCACGTTCCTTGTCTTACCCCTCTGTCTCCACCTCGAATGGTAGATGTCAGGGGGCACCACATTGGCCTGGATTACGTCATGCCTCCACGGGTCCATGTGCGAAGACCCTCAGATTGCATGCTGGGTGCAGCCAGCGTTTCGATGGGCTCTTCTGTCCCGTGATCGAGGCGTCTCGCATGACACCATGCAGCGCGCCTGGCAAAGACAGGTGTTTCGTGTAATTGCTTGAGGCGGAATGACCTTGGACGAAGGTCGCCAGCACCTCTGTTGCCATGTTGCTCTCCTTGCGGGCTCTACGCTGGCGGTCACCGTCGGCGCTGGTGATCATCATTGATAAGGGCGACAAGCTTGACATCCGCGTGGATGCCCCTGTAAGTATCAGAGGCCTCGCCAAGGCGGCGGTGTTCCAGAGAATGTGAGGAGCATTGGCTGCCCGACCTGACCCAGCGGATGAAGGTATTGATCTAAAAGAGCACCTCGGATACTGGTTCGAACCCATCATTGGTTTGCAGCGTGGGCTCCCCGAGGAGCCCGATCTCCTCTCTGACGAGGAACCGGAGGTTCCCTTGAAGCCTCCGGAAGTTTGGAGGTCACATATAAGAGTTTTTGTTCCACGTGCGGATGTTGAGGGAGATGATTGGGTTCCCAGCTGTTTACATGCGCATGGATATGCGCGCACGTCATGCTGCCCCGCGCGCATATGTGAACACTGCACCTCAGATCGCAGATAGTGAGGGTGTGCGGGACGGTTTGACCAACATGATCAAGCCATGGGCAGTGTGAATGTGCGTGGTTGTCCTGCGCGTTCGTACTTATCTTGGCCCTGGACTAGAGGCATGGCACCCAAACCTTGGCTGTCTCCAGTGCCTCGCCGCGATGGCAGCTGCCGCTGGCACGTTGAATGTGGCACGCTTGCTGGAGCATGCGCGCGGAGATATATACACCGATGGGGCGTGCCGCAAGGCGCGGTCTTGGCCACAACCTGCCAGAGCTGGATTGGGATTCGCCAATTGCACAGCGAATTCCATGGATTCTTTGGTGTCGGAAGCGCTCCCTGAACCAATCTGGAGCGCCCCGTGGGTTGAGCTTTACTCGTTTTTACATGTTTTAGAAGTGGCATCCTTCACATCCACGTTTTCACTGATTTCCTTGGGTGTGTTGGGGGCCTGGATCTAGGCCCCAGATATACTTGCGGGCTTCGGAAGCCAAGCGCTGACCTAAGGGAGGCCATTTGGCGTAAAGTCGATGACCGTCGAGGCCTTGGAGAGGCCCTTCGCACCTCGCAGGCTTAGGGTCACCAGCTTGGATATTCCATCGAGGCCAGGCCCAGCGGATGGGCTGATCTAGCAGCCACCAGAAGTAGGGAGTTGCACTCAGCCACGAAGGCCCAGTTTAAGACCATGCGCGCGGCTTTGAAAATCCATGCGTGGTGTCTTGTAATGGTTGGTCACGGCACACTTGCACCATCTGTCCGTGTGTCGTGCCGAGACGTTTCGCCGCTAACGCGAGTTGAACCTCAAGGTCTGGAGTAAGCCAGCTGGGTTCCTCCAAGGGGAACTGCGTCATTCATTCCCGGCCACTGGTAACACCACGCTTGGGCGTTGTTCATGCTGCAGGAACGGGGCCAAGTGCGAGAAGGCCAAGAGCCAAGAAGCCCAAGGATCGTCTTAGCGTGGTCGAGTGTTTGGCGCACGTCTCAGTGGTGGCCGATCGTGGCGGAGAGCCTGCCCGTGCCTTTCCGTGCGTTGCTGGCATGCTGGGCCCCCGGCCATCCCTCCGCAGGGGGTCTTTGGTAGGGGAGGTCCCCCCCTTTTTGCTCCGCCTTCCTCCCTGGACCCCAGGGGCCGTCCTGGCTGCTCCCGTTGAGTCCGCGGGCACTTCGGGGCTGGAGAGGACCATACGGATGCATGCCGAGGGGCATCCCGACGCCCGCGCTGTGCGGTCGAGGCTCACGTCGAGCTCGGTCCAGGTCCGCCCCCCGAACTGCCACCAGGCAGGGCTGTCAGGCCCCGTGTGCCTTGCGATCATTTGTTTATTCATTGTTTTGCCAATCGGTGCGGGCCCTCGCACCACCCCTTCCCCCCTTGAATGGATCTTGGCTGTTTTGGGCGCTTGTTTCGAGCAGGTGGAGTCCCTCACCCAGAATGGACGCACGGCTCCAAACAGCCGCACTAAGTAGCGGTCGAGAGTCAGGCCCCCCCTCCCCCCCTTCCGCCCAGTGTCGAAACGCCGATCTGCTTTTTTGAACTCATCATTTTCATATCAGGACGCACTGCCGCTTTGCCGCGCTATAGCTCCTGCTGTAGGAGGCCGCTCGGCCCGCAAATCTGACGACTGTGCCCCCCTCTCGGATGTAGCGGCTCTTGCGAGGGTCGGCGCCTTGCTGTCCCGTCCTTCGGGCGAAGGCAAAAGGCGATGCGTGGAGGGTTTCTCCGAAGGGCTTAGGCGACCCGTCCTCCTCCTCCTTTTCCTCCTCCTCCTCTTCCTCCTCCTCCCCGACTCTACGAGCTCGATGGAAGCCGAGCTGGCCATCGGATCCACACTGCGACGCAGTGAAATGCGAGCGAAGTCTTTTGGGTTCTTTAAAGGGCCATTCGGTCGACCCACCAGAGGAGGAGGAATGCTGCATCTCAGCGTCATGTTCTCCCGCGCCACGTGCATGCGGAACGTGTTGATCCTGCGGCCACCCCCGCGGGAGTTCCTGGAGAGAGGGCCGCCGGCGTTCCTGCGAAAGGTGCCCAGGGAGTTCGGCAAGAGAGCGGAGAGCTCCAGGGCAGAGACGGAGCAGCTCGCGGCAGAGCTGGGTGTCGTGCTGCCTCCCGCCTGAGCGCGGCCGCGACTAGCTCGGTGCCTGCTGGGTTGTCCCAACGGCTTGCTCCCGCGCCCCAGCAGCTCGCGGGGTTGTCCCAACGGCCTGGCCTGCGAGATTGCCCCGATCGCTGCTCGACGTGGCCATTTGAGAATGCGCCCGCGCTGGCCGAGGCGGCGACGGCGCCGAGGAACATCGACGCGCGTGCTCTTGCAAAAGAGGGGGGAGGAGGTGGCGGGGGTGAAAAAAAACAGGAGGGCGAGGAAGGGGCAACGTAGGGAGCGGGAGGAGGGCCTGCGCCAGGGCGAGAAGGATAATGATGCAGAGGTGACAGCGAGGACGCTTCGCCAATCAATAGGACGACGGCGAGGGGCATTTCCAGATGTGCCGAGATGAATCTCATGCGGGGGGCAACCGTCCGAGTAATTCCGTGCGCGCCCCTCCAAGTTTGACGCCCTTCTTCTATGTCTGTTTTGTTTGTTCTTTCCACTCTTTGAAGTTCACGTTAAACTCGTGGTGCTCCCGAGTTCGGCTCTCGGTCCTCCGCCCTGGGGCATTTTGAGCTTTTTGAGGGGAAGCTATGCCACCCTGCGGGGCGCGAAGATCATCGCGTTCCGCGGCGTGGATCAGGGAAGCGTCCTTCCCCAACGGCGAGGGGGGATCGTGAAGGTAATCACGATTCGCGCAGTGCCGGGTAAGTTGGGTAGCGCTGGCGCGGGATGAGGGGTGACAGTGGAGGTTGAGAGGCGGGGCAGCTGGAGGGAAAAAGGGAAGGGAAACAAGGAGACTGGAAGAAAAGGGCGGGAAAGGGAAAAGGGACATTGGGAGGGAGAGGAGAGAAGGGGAGGGAACAGGTGGATAAGGTTGGGCGGAGGGCGTGGAGGGACAGTTGGGGAGAATAAGGAAGGCGTTGGAGGGGATGGGGAAAAAATAATAATAGTGGTGATGATGATGGTGATGCTGGGGATGATTAAGATGATGATGATGATGATGATGATGATGATGCTGATGCTGATGCTGATGCTGATGCTGATGCTGATGATGATGGTGATGGTGATGGTGATGG